CATACACCAAGAAAGTAGCTTTTTAATTTACATTAATGAGCGTACTAATCAGCAGAGGCTAGGCTGTGCACTAACAAGCACACCCCCATCTCAGTGGCTTCTCATAACAAAAGTTTTTGTTTCTACTCACCTTGTTCATGCCTTGCCAGTTAGCATGAGGATTCTGCTCATCACAGTCATTCATGTTCCAGAGGACTGAGAGAGAGAGACTGGATGGATCCAAACTTTAATTTCACTCATAAAATCTCCCAATAACGAATACAAGTTTTATTTTAAAAAGGGTGTTATCAAGATTCAGTGTGTCCGAATTTTACGCAGGAAAATCATTTGGTGGAAGATCAGATTCCGACCTAGCGCCATGATTCACACGTGGTATAGAGAGTCAGTGGGTCCAAGATTATCTTCCCAAAGAGTGAGCGTATTATGAGAGTCACAGAGAATAGGAAACAGCTGTTTCTTCACCCAATTAGTACTTGCTTTAGAAAGTAATGAGGAAACACTGCAGATTGTCTAAAAGGATGAAAAAAATGTAACATCAGTGTATGGTTACTTTTATAGAGTGAGTCCTGATTGTTTGACTTTTCCACTATTCCAGTGTGAAATCTATCGCTCCTTTGAGCTTTATTTATGCTTTACAGATTATTTCTGAAATGTGCACCAGGAAAATCAAGTACTCTAGCAATGTTTTCCAAACTTCAGAGATTCTTCCAAACATGTTACTGCGTCCTGTGTCCTGCCTTACCATGTACATCTATACTGTGTTTACTCCTGGACATTCAGACATAACTGAGCATTTGGGGGATTATAAACAGGACAAAACAAAACAGCATCAATTTAATGGGGAGTGAGAATACTCCTACGGAAAATCTATTCCTGGAGAATCATGGATCCTGGAACTACGACTTGACCTAGTTATAAGACCTCCATTATCAGCAGGGAATAGTGATTCTGAGTACCGTGTGACAGCTTTTGTAAAAATCTGATGCTGGCCCCAGCCCTTGCATGCAAATTCACATGTTACGGAGAGGGAAGCCTAAAAGCATACTAAAAGGCTAGATTTGCTGAACTCTGTCACACACCGGTGCCCAAGAAACACTGTGTTTGAACTTCACAAAAGAGAGAGCTTTCTTCTATAATCTCCTCTATAACTGCCACACAGTTTTCGGGATCCCTTGGGACTCCAAACCACTAAAAGAGAATGTCTCCTCCTAGCAGAGCAACAAAACCAACGACCACAGTCTAAAGTGGAAAATAAGTCATGCCAGGGCCTGCTACATCAAGAAGAATGACAGAGTCTGCTTTGCTGGCAGAGGGGAGGCAGCCATCAGATAGGAGATGCTGGATCTGCTAGCACATAGCAGCGAACGTTCCCACCACACCCGGAGAGCGGCAAGCATACGCTCTATGACTGGTGGAACTGGAGCAGTCATCAGGGGATAAGCTGTGCTGCCTAAAGCAGGGGCAAGATGAAGTGGCAGAGCATTCTACATCTGAGGACCCCCAGGCTTGGACAGTGGCCACAGCAGCAAGGAACAACTATGCCATGCAGAGCAGTTTTGGCATTGTCCAGTTATTTCTGGACATGTGTGTTTACTTCAGAACATGTGATGGACCCTTGGAGACTAGCATGTATGAATCCAGAGTCTTTGCAGGAAGCAAAGTACATGCATGATTAGTAGATGAGGATAATCAGCTTTCTTATTAATTTAGGCATGTATATGACCTCATGTATACTCATCAGCTGGTGAGGCTGGGAAAGTTCACATTTCCTAGTGTCATTATTTTCAAACATATAGGTAATTTTGTATTAAATTATGCAGCATATTTGTTACTGGCAGTTAAAGGGGCAATTTGATTCCCCCATAAATTGTTTGCAAAGCATACCAGGGGATAGAAAACTTTTAGAAAGATTATATTTTGAAAACTGATCCAAAATATGATTTGTGGATTGTTCTCAGCATAAGCCAAGAGAAGCAGTCCTTCTTTACCTAAGTGTTTTATGCTTTCCAGGAGTTCTGTTTCAACTATCTTTTTCCCTAATAATTTATTTTCTGAAATGTGACAATCCTTTGAAAATATAATTACATTAATTCTCTACAAAGAACATGCCAAGTCAACAGTTGTTGTTGAGACTTCTTTGTCCCTTTTTTTCTGCTATTTGTGGCTTTGTGTGTGTGTGTGTGTGCACGTGCATGTTCTTACTTGCATCAAACATTTCTAGAAGAAATATCTCTCAAAGGAAGCCACAATTCCAAATAAGGGGATGGGAAAAGAATTTCTGAATTCTTTGTGAAGTGAGTTTGAACATAAACCCTCTTTATAATGTAAATTACATCCTGGAGGTTTGTACATACTAGGAGCTCAATAAACATTTGTTGAGTGATGGAATCATATTTTTATAAATTTAATTAGGGGTTAAATTAAAAGCTCAATTGATCTGTTTTCCAAGATGATAAAGAAATTCCTTCTATGTTCCCCAACTTGACAAATTCGGTCTCTAGAACCAAGAAAAAGCATGGATGGGTCCCCCTATATTCGTAAGTCCTTGATTCCAACTGTATACGTTTATCTGGAGAATTCTGACTTACACTGAGTTGAAAATTTACCTCTCTAAACACCACCCATTAGGCCTAATGGTTTTCTGTGAAGCACACAGAAAAAATCTACCACCCAACTTACAGACGATAACCTGAAATATTTTAAAGCAGTCATTATTTTCCTTCTGAGGGACCTCTTTTCAGTTTAATATCTCTAATTTCAACCATTAGTTGTATATCCTTCCTCACCCAGGCCATTCTTCCCTTTATTTTATCCAATTTGTCATAACCCTGTTAAATTGTAATCCTTAGAATGAAATGCAAAGTTTCCATTAAAAACTAATTAGCATGCATGGTTCACTCTTTCAATAAATATTTAATGAACATCTATTATAAACCAGATATTGTAGTGAGGACCAGTGGTTAAACAAGACAGGTAGCCTTTACCTGCCTTAGGAGGCTTGAAGTCAAATATGGTATAAATACTAAATTACAACTGTGGTAAGTTTATAATCAGAATGGGTATGAAATGTTTTTCTCTGGACATAATAGTTACATTACAGATATCTGAAATTATGCTGGTATTTTTAGTATCCATATCAAAATTGCAATTACAATAAAACTAGTGGTCATTCATGTTTTCGTATAATTTTCTAATACAGACAGCCACAAAAATAGACATGAATGGCTATGAGTGTCTCAGAATGTGTGAAAGAAGCAAAACCAGAAAAGGAAAAGCCTAAGGGAAAACATGATAAAACGTCTCTATATTTCTGATAAATTATAACTTGTAAAAGGAAAGCATATGCTTAAACAAAATACATAAATAATAAACCCAGAAAACATAAAGAGCAAAGAGTTTTGTCTTCCCTTGAGAGAGCATTTCTCAGTGGACAGAGTACCAAAATAAAAATTAGAAAACTGGACATTAATCCATATAGTTTAGGCTAAAAGTACTTAGTCTCCTTGAAGCTTATTATCCTTATCAGAAATACGGAACTTAAAAATTCCCTTCTTTCCTGATTATCATCACTAGTGCTAATTCACTTGATAACTCTTTGAGAATAAGATGAGATAATGTATGAAAGTGCTCTAAAAATAATAGGCCACAATGCAAAGGTAACTATTTGTTTTTACAGAGAAAGGAGAGAAATTGTGATTATAGTCAATACAGAATAGCAGGTGTTGACTTTATCTTACATAAATAGCAATAAAATGGTATTGTCATTCACAGATAGTGCAGAGCTGTGATCCTTAAAAAAAGGAACACATGCCACGTGGAATCCATACCTACCTCAGCCTCCCATCTGGGGATACTTTCTAAACTGAGCCATAGAGAACTGGAGATAAATGCAGAGCAACAGTATTGCTGGGCAGAGAAACAGATCAGAAGGATTTGGGGCTACTGAGGTAGCTGAAATTTATGAAACAGAATACTGGGGAGGGGAGACATACACAGAGAAAAAAGAAATCCAGAAATCTGCACAAGGTATCTCTTGATTCTTTTACAAATCTAAGCTGCATTTACACAGGGTGTGATATTGTGGAACCTGAAAGAGATCTAAATGGAAGCCAAAGAAAAATTCTAGAGTTTTCCCAGTGCTGAGAATACTGGAGTTCTAACCAGTCATAGTAGATAATCATTACTAAAAAACCAATGACTTCCATTTCAGACTTCAGGAAGATCAAGATTTTAGAGTAGGGCTATTCTAGACTTGCCCGATCCTTGACAAGATCAAGTTTATCAGTGAGTAAACTAATCACTTTCCAGAACAAAACAATATTCTTTAAAAGAGACTATATAATTTGAATTTGAGCAATGTAACATTCACAAAATTCAGAATACAAATAAAAATACTAGACATGTGAATAAACAGAGAAAAAAAGAACAAATAGTCAATAGACACAGACACAGAGATGACACAGATAGTAGAATTATGAGACAGGACATTTATATAGCTTTGATAAATATGTTAAAGGATTTAAAGGACAAAATGGATTTAATAAATAAACATGAAAAATCTTACTAGCAAAATGACAACTATAAAAAGATATTTTAAAAATTAAACAATACAACATCTGAAATTTTTTAAAAATCACAAATTGGGCACTGTTGAAGAAAGTTATCAGTGAATTGAAAATAGGCCATAAAAACCATGCAAACTGAAGTGCAAACTGTAAAAAAAAAAAAACAGACAAACAAAAAAATAAAAACAAAAACAAGCCCCAGTGATGTAAAGGTCAATATCAAGCACAGGTAAATATGTGTAAAAATATTTTTAAAAATTAGCCCACATATTCAAAAACATAAGAAAAAACACAATTTGGATAAACACAAAGAAAAGCATACTTAGGCATATCACTGTCAAATGGCTAAAGCTCAAAGATAAATTGAAAAATCATAAAGGCAGTGAAGTCAAAAACATTTTATACAGGAAAAATGTACAAGAGAAATCACTGAATATAGGAAACTATATTAAAGTGTCCCCAGATGGGAACCAGTGGAATATTTTTAAATGCTGGTATTTTTTAGGAGTATGTAAATCTGGAATTCAATACATTGCACAAAAAACCCATCAAAAATAAAAAAAACTTTGTTAAACAAATATGAGTAAAATTATCACCAATAGACTTAAAATTCAATTGATGTTAAAGAAAGTTCTCCTGAAGGAACAGATACCATATGGAAACTCAAATTTATTTGATAGAATGAAGAGCAGAAATGATTAATATGTGGTTAAACATTATTTACGCTGTTATACTTTCCTAATTTTTAAAACACAGTTGACTGTTTGAAATAAATATTAATAAAAATATGTTTTGAGGTTTATAACATATTTAGAAATAAATGGTATGAAATAACAGCACAAAAATAGAAAAGAGGTAAGGAAAAGAATATTGTCATCAGATTCTTAGATTATATGAGGTAATAGAATATTACTTTGAGGCAGATAGTGATGTTTAAAATGTAAC